CGTCTGATTCAAACTACGATCAGCCCTCAGAATCCTGGTCTGCTGCAGGCCTGGACAAGTTAATCGTCTTGGACATATGATGTTCGTTCCCAGGAAGACCTAACATCATTTGTTTCAGTTCTGATAGAAACATGGAAGTGCCTGTGCCAACTGCTTTAATAATCACTCAAATGAATTATGATTAGAAGATGCCAGGAAACCTGTATAAAATTTGTTTATTCTTTTTATTTTATTTGGTTTGTCCATTGCTTACAAGTATAGGTATAAGTAAAAACATAGTTATGAATACATGGATACATATAAGAAAAATAAAAGAAACAATAGGACAGGGACGGTAGGCACATTGGTGCGCTTATGCAGGCCCCCTACAGAGCTCTTAGGAAAGGGGTGAGGTCAATAATAGACAGTCTGAGGTTAAAGTTTTTGGGGTTTGGGGAAGAAACCACAGAGTCAGGTAGAGGATTCCAAACATTGACCCCTCTGTTGCTGAAATCGTATTTCCTGCAATCGAGTTTGGTGCAGTTTGCCTTGAGTTTGTATCTGTTGTGTGCTCTTGTGTTGTTATGGTTGAAGCTGAAGTATTCATTGACAGGTAGGACATTGCAATGTATGATTTTATATATTATACTTAGATGTTTTACAGGTGGTATTTGCCACTGACAAGGCTAGCAAAGATGTTTTAAAACATGTCCACCAAGTGTTGGAAATGCAATCAGACGCTGGTCTCTTACCACCATATGTGGTGGACATGTTCAAAGGCAAATTTTGGATGAAAATACATGTTTAGAGAAGATGTTAAAGCAACATACAGATTTAAAGCCCAAAATATTTTTGACAAATATGAAGGGGACATATATTTAATATTACATGTCTTGACAGCAGTGAGAATTGTATTGTGCTTATTTGCACAACACTGGATGAGGAAACACCTACAGAAGAGAATATAATTTAAAAAAAAATACTAGCTTGTGCAGAAATGGATAGGTTGACGTTAAAGATAAAAAAAGATACAGAATACTTTTGAACGTAGGGTGTGTTTTATCTATGGTTAGATAACAGAGGTAGAAATTGGAAATTATGATTATGCATAAGTACATTGACCCAGATAATATACGCTGTTTACTAAGCACTTATGTATATTGAAGAAAAATGTATAAATAATAAACGCATGCATGTTTCGAACCTTGCCCTCGATTCCGATTGATTTTGCTTTCCGTCCTTTCCAGCTGCTGAATGCAATCCAGTTGTTTGGAGCCAATCTGGACGATTACCTGCACTTATTGCTGCCCCCCATTGTGAAGCTTTTTGATGCTCCTGACGCCCCGCTGTCTGCTCGCAAGTAAGCATGGATGTTGTCCCCATGGCCTAACCGTTTAATAGAAGACGCGGCCGGTCCTTCCAAATACTTTAAAACTTTTCTCAAAAAGACACCCACACCTGTCCTTCTTTGGGGGTTTGTCTGCGTCCAGTGTGTGTTTGCAATGGCTCTGCGTTCTCTCTCCTTCCAGAGCTGCCTTGGAAACTGTGGACCGATTAACCGAGTCCCTTGATTTCACGGATTACGCTTCGCGAATTATCCATCCCATCGTGCGAACTCTCGACCAGAGCCCAGAGCTTCGCACAACTGCCATGGACACGCTCTCCTCCCTGGTCTTCCAGCTGGGGAAAAAGGTAAAATGGGGATTATTTTTTTCCAAGGGGAGAGATCCTGACTTCGTTGAATTTAAACCCTTTCCTTTAAAACATAAAGAACGGTTGATGGAATGGGGTACATTTTTAAGTAAAGTTTTTAAGAAGTGATTGGGCAACCATTTGTCTGGAACGGTGTAGGGTTTCCTGCCTGAGCAGAGGGATGGACTAGAAGACCTCCAGGGTCCCTTCCAACTCTATTATTCGGTATTCTGTAAAGAGTTCCTTAGGTGGTTGGGGAAGTGACACTGTAAGTTTGAACTTTTAACGAGACGTTAGATGGTATAGGTTTAAATGAAATGTTGGCTGTATCCTCTAGTGTTTTTTTTTAAATTGCAAAACATGAAACGACCTCTTTAAATGGATCAGTGGCGCTTGAAAATTTAGAAGGTTGCGTGGACCCCAAAACTAAGACAATAACAAGGCGCTCTAAAATATTCCACAGCTGATAGACAAATTCCATTAAATGTAACCATCTATTATTAATTTTTTTTCCAATGATTTTCCCCAAGCTGTTTCTGAAAGAGCCTATCGTACGTGACCCATTGGATCTCAGGACTGCACCCCCGTGCAGATCCAGTTTTTAAAAATTACACTCCTGGCGTTGGTTCTGAGCTGCTGCTATTCTCTTCCACTGTCATTACCCTTGCCAAAGAAAAGGAAGCCTTCCGGGGCCTAACGCTTCTTCTCACCCCTGCAGTATCAGATCTTTATCCCGATGGTGAACAAAGTATTGGTGCGTCACAGGATAAACCACCAGCGATACGACGTCCTCATCTGCAGGATTGTGAAGGTCAGTGACTCCTCAAGAAGTCGAAGGAGATGGCAGGCTAACGTTTTCATTTGAAGGACACCTGTTTCTCCTCTGGGTTCCTGCCCTGAGCTTATCAGTTGCATCTGAATTTCACTTTAATTCCATAATGTTCCTTCATTATATTTATATATATAAATTTCATGAGAAATTTATGAGAAAGGGGGAAAAAAATCACACCTTCCTGTCAACATCCAGCTTGAATATCCAAATAGAAGTACAGGATTGTTTTATTCACTGGCTTATGAATGAAGGATTTCCCCAGCCCGACCTCCCAGGTTTCTACATAGACCAAGTAAAGTTCCCATTGTTATGGGAACCGTGTCTCTCACTTGCACACCTGCCAAATCGTCCTTGAAAGTTTCCAGTTTCTCACAAACTTCGGTGGAGCTGCAGAAGTTTCGTTTTCTCTGGTTAACCCTCCCATAATGTTTCATCCTGGACGCTTCCATTCGGCCACGAGTACAAACCACAGCAGTGGTTACCCAAATATAAAGCGAGGTTTGGTTTTGATGAATTGCTCTGCTCTGCTCTGCGTTAGGGCTACACTCTTGCCGATGAAGAGGACGACCCCCTGATATACCAGCACCGCATGCAGAGGAGCAGCCAAGGAGAGGCCCTCGCCAGCGGCCCGGTCGAAACCGGGCCCATGAAGAAGCTGCACGTCAGCACCATCAACTTACAGAAGGTAAACCCGCTGGGCGGAGACAAACTTGTCAAGATTAGCCATTTCAGCAACAGAGTTTCTGGTGGTTTTTGTGGCATCCAAATTGTCCAGGACCAGTTTGCGGTGATCTAGCACAAGGGTGTCAAACTCTATTTCATTGAGGGCCGCATCAAGGTTGTGCTTGACCTTGGGGGCACAGGGTGAGCGTGGCCAGCTTGTCATCACTCCCGTCGGGGGCACCTTGGGTGGCCAAGTGCTAAGGCAGGACTTCCTTCAGACCCTTCCTCGCTGCCTTCCTTCCTTCCTTCCTTTTCTTCTTTTTCCTTTCCTCTTCATTCTCCTTTCTTCTTCCTTCCCCTCTTTATTTTTCCCTTCCTTGCTCGCTTCCCATCTTTCTTTCTTTTTCTTTGCCTTTCCTCTTTCTCCCTTTCGGTCCCTCCTTGCATGCTCAAATGCAAAAGGGGAAATATTTCTCATTTTGTTTTGCTTTTAGTTTGTTTTGCTAGTCCTCTGCCAGTGAAAATGGAGCCCGGGGGTAGGGGCTGCGTGCGCTCCCCCAGGCCCTGTTTTCGGCTACCATGGCCTCCTGCAGCCCTCTGCCAGCCAAAACAGAGATCGTTTTGGCTAACAGAGGGCTTCAGGAAGTCATCATGGCTGAAAAAGAGGCCCGGGGAGTGCACACAGCCCTCCCGGACTCCGTTTTTGCTGGCAGAGGCAGCGCGGGACGGTCTTTCGCTGTCTCCATGGCGGCCCCATGGGCCAGATCTAACCTGTGGGCCTTGAGTTTGACACCCCTGATCTAGCAAACTTCATGTCACTTTCCAAACAGAGGCAGTATTTGTCAGACAGGTTTTCCCCACATTCAAAGAACTTAAAAAAACAAAGCTTCTAGACAACTGGAGGAATCTGTCCCCGTGCAGACAGATTCCTGAAGGATCGGGCCATCAATAGGGACTAATAAGTGTAGAAAGTTATGATATTCTTTTAAACCTCAGGTAGCATTAAAACTCCAAATGGTTGGGAAGCGGCATCAGATGAGAGCGAAGCTTGCAAAATTGAAATTCATCCAGTTATTCAATATGAGAACCAGAACGCTTGGCTGGATGGGACTGAGAGCTGGCTGGGGAATTCTGGGGATTTGAAGTCCGTACGCCTTCAAAGTGGCCGAGCTTGAGAACCCCATCCATACCTACAGCCGTGTCACCATCTTCCAACTCTTCTTGCCATCACAAAGCAGCCCATTAAATGGCAGAAGATTCAGCCACGTGATTGAGGAGGGGTTTTTTCAGGGCTGCAGAAGTGGAGTTAGGGTCCCGTGGTCCCCATGCTGTCAGCGACTCAAATTGTGCTTGATATTCTAGGCCTGGGGAGCAGCTCGCAGAGTTTCCAAGGACGATTGGTTGGAATGGCTGAGGCGGCTGAGCCTGGAGCTGTTGAAAGACTCCTCATCCCCCTCGCTGCGCTCATGCTGGGCCTTGGCTCAGGCCTACAACCCCATGGCCAGGTAGAAATCCAACATCAATCCAGGGAGAAGACGAAAAAAGTCTTCCCTTGGTTGTTTAATGCAAGTGTTAAAAAAAAAAAGTTTAACTGCGCGTGTGATAGTTGAGCGTTTTGGTTTGTGTGATTTGAAAGGTGCTTTTCCAAGAGTCAACTGGACTTTTCTTGTGGGCTCCCCAAAATCCGTAAAGAAGGAACTTCGCTCAGAGCAATTGTCAGCAGCATCAATTCCGTCACCTACAACATTGCGAAACCTCTCGCCACTTGGTTAGCTCTTCTCGCTGGCAACACCCCCCACCTCATGCACAATTCACAGGAGTTCGTCTGCAAAGTTTGGAAACTAAAACTAGACCTGGATGAGACCAAGAAAGTCCAGTTGTCTCTTGGAATAAAAGCACCTTTGGGACAACCCTGACTTGGGTGACTGAGAATCCCCATAGACATTGGGTGCGTGAACTTTCGGAGGCCGATGGTCCTGGGTGTTGGATTGAGCATCTGAATGTTTTGCAGCGAAGGTTAAATCGACTGCATGCTGTGCATTTGAAGATTAACATATCCAAGACTGAGTACTTGTGCTTGATGGGGTAAATGGGCTGAAGGATAGTGAGTGGTGCATCGTTGCTTGAAAGCTAGACGGACCAGGTGACGTACATCCGTAAAACGTTCGCCGAGGATAGCAAATTGGATAAAAAAAAAAATTGTTTGCTGAAGGAATATTAAGGGGTAGTTTGGGAAGGAAGGTTTTCTAGTTCCTGGTCAGTTCTCAGGTCTGACAGTTGCCTCTGTTAAAAATTCTCCCCTGTGCAGTTATGGGCTGTCACAGGATGTGGGTTTGGGTTCAGTTTGGATCACTGAAGTGGTACGTTCAATGTTGGCTTATTGCTCCATTTTCCCCCTCCTCTTCCTGCTTCCCCTTCTCCCCCAGAGATCTGTTCAACGCAGCCTTTGTTTCATGCTGGTCTGAGCTGAACGAAGACCAGCAGGACGAGCTGATCCGCAGCATCGAGCTGGCGCTGACGTCTCAGGATATTGCCGAGGTCACCCAGACCCTGCTCAATTTGGCGGAGTTCATGGAGCACAGCGACAAGGTAGAGGACCTTGGGGTGGGGGCTTTTTCTCGTTTTCCTTTTTTTTTTTAACAACTCTTGGCTCTGATCTCACAAAGGGACAGGCGACTTCGCTGATCATTGCAGAAATCGCAATAGGGCTTAGACTTACAAACTGCTTCGTGGTGCTTCGCAGCCCACTCTAAGCACTTTACAGAGTCATCCTCTCACCCCACCCCCCCAAACAATCTGGCTCCTGGTTGTACCAACCTCGGAAGGATGGGTGGCTGAGTCAAACTTTGAGCTGCTCAGGATTGAACTGTGGGCCGTGGGCAGAGTTAAGGCTGCAATATTGCATTCTAACCACGGGGCCAAGTGGCTCAGTGGCTCAGTGCCTTAATGGCGTGAGAGATGGTCTCGGCGTCAGCAGTCCGAGCTCTAGCACTGCATGGCAGGGTGAGCTCCCATCACTTGCCTCAGCGTCTATCCTGACCGTTTAAAACTCTGTTCTGTGCAGGTGGACATCTAGGTACCGCTTCGGTGGGGAGATGAGGTGATGCTTTGTGCAGGCAGTCAGATTCGGGGGTAGCTCTGAACCTTTCCGGTTGCAGTGCCTGTTTGCAAGGCCGCTCCGGGAAGGAAAGGGAGCCTTAGGTGACACCGTAGGAAGAGCCACTTGTCTATCTCTCTGATTGCACAGCCAGCCCTCCTGCGGTGCACCTTGGGAAGCACACAAGCGTTTCCTATAACAGGATTGGTACCTTGGCAAGCCAAAGGACATGTTCTGACCCAGCTCCCCAAACACAGCAAACCCTCTGACAGGAATTCAAAAAATTCCTTTATCAGGAACGCCGGCAGCCCCGGCAAAAAGGTTTCTCTTGCAGGCTAACAAGTCCATCCAGACGGAAGACGAATAGTTGTCTGCCACACTTATTCATCTCCGCCCCCTGCCTTTTATCCGCAGAGCTAGGGTGGGGCTTCACTAGTGGCGGTAGCTATTCCTTCCCAGGGACCGGCTCATAGATTTCCACTGCTCTCCTCTCCACTGCTTTCTGTGCATCCACAGTCAGGCACTGGACCCGGCTGTTTCTCCTCTTCCTCATCAGCCACCTCCAGACCTGGGGGCTGTGGACTCTACATCTGAGGGGTGACCGACAGCCCAGGCTCTGCACCTGTCCCTCTCTCTGCCGGTTCCATTCCCTCGGAGCTCCCAGGTTGCCCTGATGCTGACCCTGACTCCCACGCCGCCACTTCTTCCTCTGATTCGGCTGCTGGAGGGGCCAGCAGCCGACAGGCCACAACAGTACAACTCCGCGGTAGCATTGTGGTCCCGTGGGCAATGAACAGTGCCATATGCCAATAATGATAATGACCACTGTGCCTCCAGAGCTCACGAATAAGCTTCCATTTAATAGCTTGCATGAAATTCCCTAGATCAGAGAGTTGGTGGCTGAAGGGCGGGGAAGTGAGGGGATGGTTTCGTGGGAGGGGCAGGCCCACGCGGGCGCGCATGCATGCATTAATGGTCATGGCTCGTGCAGGTGGGGCAGTGAGTGCCCCCGATGCTTGTGACGACTCGGGAGTGGGCCTGTGCATGCCCATGTGTGTGTGCGTTGGCCAGCGACTCCCGCGGCCCAGTCAAGGCTGGGGACCCTTGCTCTACATGGCCTTGCGGGGTTTGCACTCCCATCACAGTCCTGACCCTTTGTCCGGCTTCCTCCTCCCAGGGCCCGCTGCCGTTGGGAGACGACAACGGCATCGTCTTACTGGGAGAACGGGCTGCCAAGTGCCGAGCCTATGCCAAGGCGCTACATTACAAAGAGCTGGAATTTCAGAAGGGACCCACGCCAGCCATCCTTGAGTCTCTCATCAGGTGGGCATTTTCCCCTTTGCTCTCTCAGTCGGTAAGCCCACGTGGCAGAGGAGGCAGCTCGGTGTTTCTCCGGACGTTGCCCTTTTGACCAGACAATTCCAGAGCAAGGATAGGAGGTATCTCTAGGCTCGGCAATACCTGGTTCTTGCTTGGGGAAATTGGTCTAGAGTTAAGGAAGAAGGTGGAAATTTCTTTTTTTAAACAGGAAACACAATATCTTGTGAAAAATATTCGTGTTAAATTCTGCCCTTCCCTTTGCATAGTAAGTAAACAGAGCCAAAAACCTCAGCAGCAATATCCTCCTGATAGATGATAGATAGATAGATAGATAGATAGATAGATAGATAGATAGATAGATAGATATGGTTGGTAGGTAGGTAGATACTGTAGATAGATAGATAGATAGATAGATAGATAGATAGATAGATAGATAGATAGATAGATACATACATACATACCATAGGTAGGTAGGTAGGTAGGTAGATAAATAAAAAAGAAAGAAAGAAAGAAAGATAGATAGATAGATAGATAGATAGATAGATAGATAGATAGATAGATAGATAGATAGATAGATAGATAGATACCGTAGGTAAGTAGGTAGGTAGGTAGGTAGGTAGGTAGAGGTTTATAGCTCTCCTCTACCAGTAGCCAAGTGATCCTTTTGCAACCTCAGATTCTTCACAGCGTTGACACCAGATTAGCCACGCGCACACACACACACACATGTTGGTTTACATTTCCAGAAATTCTCCTTGACTGGAAATGTTTTTGTCCTGAGGACTATATACTCGGCCCCAAACTCAGTTTTAAAATCAAGAGGATTTTATTATACTGTTGGATGGGAAGGAGGTGTTTGGACAGAGAGCACTATTTGGTTTACAACTGCAAAAATAATAATTCCTAAGCATCCGATTTCCACAAGCTTCCGATGTGGAGCAATCCACTATGCAATATCTTTGGCAAAAATCTGGTGTAGCTTCCCCCCCCCCCCGTCCTCCCCGAGATTCCAGTCCACCAGGGAAATAAACAAAGGCGAAATCTACGTTAATTCGGGGGAATATGTGAGCATCTCGATAGAGAACATTGCAGTCAGAAAAATCCAGAGACATTCAGGTGGAGGCTGAAACAAGCGGGCACCTGCCTTGCTACTGATGAAGGGCATTCTCCATACGGAAGCTCATTCTTGACATCAATGATGGTACTTCCCCCTCCCTATCTCCCCCCCCAGCCCCCCCTCCGGTGGTTCCTGCTTTAGAGGTGAGGCCATCTCCTTACTCGACCCTATTGGGGGTCCCTCTAGGCCTTGAAGTCCGTTGACCGGATTTTCATCTCTACCCTCTTGAGGGAATACAGTTTCCCATGCCAGCTGTACCAGGTGATGCCATCGGTGCTCTTGTTATGTTCATCCTTACGATAGTAAACCCCGTTCAGGTTGGAGTCTGTGCAGCAGTTGTACCAGTAGCCGCCTGTGGGGAAAAGAGGAAGTTGAGAGGTTTATGAAGTCTTTTTAACGCTTTTAATATAGTGATTATTCTAGAAAAGGGTCTCATCGTCAGCGGATCTCTGCGCTGGCCCCTGGGCGAAGGCCAACGAATTGCAATGCGTCGGGGAGATGGCCGTGCCAGGGTTCCAGAAAAACCCAACTCCAATTAAAAACTCCGAGACAGGCATTTTCTCGAAGTTTCCTTTTATTAGAGTAGGTATACTGAGAAAAACCACATCTGGGAAAACCCGAATCTGAAAGTTTTTCTCCAATAAATAAAAAATGACAAGTCCACTCCCTGCACTCATCATTCCATCACATGCCTGAATCGCCATCCGTCCCAACTTGAGACTTTCCCTCACCCAGGTGCAGAAATAACATGACCTTGACTGAGAAGAAGAATGCTATTATGTCTTAACTACATACGCTCCATGAAATTCCCCCCTCCCATCTTCCCAGGCTCAAGAATGTGGAAGCTTCTGGTGCTAATATGGCTTCCAAAGCTGATAGGCCATTGCCCTCGACTTATAACAGTTCATTTAGGGACTGTTCAAAGTTACAAAGGCACTGAAAAAAAAATGACTCGGGGCCGTTTTTCACACCTACGACCATTGCATCCTCACCACGTGATCAACTGGTTCATAGTTATGACGAACACAGGGTCACCTGATTCCCCTTTTGCGACCTTTTGACAAGCAAAGTCCACGGGGAAGCCTGATTACTCTTAACCACCGTGTGACTAACTTAACAACTTGTGGCAAGAAAAGTCGTAAAATGTGCGGCAAAACTCACTTAACAAATGTCTCATTTGGCACAAATAAATTCTGGGCTCCATTGTGGTCATACGTCGAGAACTACCATATTGAAAATGACATCACTCAACTCATCCTGCGTGGAGGAGGTATTTTTTTTCCTGCTCCTGCTAATTAGCTGATGGAGCAGGAAGACGACTCAAAATGCTATGTAGATAGTCCTCAGCTTACAGTTCATCTAGTGGGTGTTCGAAGTTGCAACGTCACGGGAAAATGTAACATGATCATTTTTCACGTTTGCCTCCAATTGCAGCATCGTGTCACGTGATCAAAATTCAGACACTTGGCAACTGACTCAAATTTATAACGGTTGCGGTGTTGTGGGGGTCACATGATCCCCTTTTGCAAAATCAACGGCGGAGCCAGACTCGCTAGCGATTGAAGAACAGCACTGATTCACTTCGCCAAGGTGGCAAGAAAAATCGTAACATGGGACAAAACTCATGTAACAAATGTCTCGCTCAGGAACAGAAATTTTAGGCTCAATTGTGGTTGTAAGTCAAGGACTACAGGAGAAACGGGGAGATTCAAAGAACGGGGCAGTCAACGCTTGGGAAGAATTGCCCTTCTGGAATCTGGGGAAGAGACGTCGATCTGAAGAACCAGGTGGAATTGGGCTAAGGGACGGACGGCTGTTCCTACATAGAATTTGGGGATACAAAGGTGGACAGTGGTCCCGCTTAACGAACATTGACAACAGGAAGAGGAGGTGTTTTTTGGCCCACAGCTGACCTTTGCGTAACTGCGCACAGTGATCAATGCACTTGTCGTTGTCCTTGTCCATGGTGCTGAAGGCCGTGTTGTTATGGTACCGCATGGAGTCGCGTGGGGCGCTGCCACTGAAGTTAGCCAGGAAGAGGTGGTAGTTGCTCAACTCATTGCCCACTTGGAAACGGCCGTATTGAGCAAACACGCTGTTGCCATCCCAGTCCTGCAGGGCAAGAGGGAAATCAACAGGAGACACCCTTTATTTACCGCCTGTCACAATTTGCCACCGCCAACTCGCCGGGGAAGAACCTGCCATGGTCAAGAGTTACACTAATGTCAAAGAAATACCAATGGGACTTAGACTTATATACCGCTTCACCGTGCTTTGCAGCCCTCTCTTAAGTGGTTCACAGAGTCAGCCTATTTCTCATAACAATCTGGGTCCTCATTTTACCCACCTCGGAAGGATAGAAACATTAAAGAAAGGATGCAAAAGAAGGGACAGAATGAAATGACAAACCTAAAAATTTATTTATTTATTTATTTTAAATAATAATTAAATGGAATTGTTAAATTGTCCAGCAGCGAGTTGGCTGATTTGATTCAGGGAAATATTTATCTAAATTATTGATGTTTCCCTAAGCTCTCAAGTGAGGAAATGACTTCTTCATTTGATTGACGTTTTACATTTCTTTTATGCACCAGCCACAAATGAATTTGATCTACTCACCTGAAACTAACCATCACGTTGTGCAGGCCTTAGATTAGATCATGCTTTCTGGATTTAATAAATGCAGTAACATGCAATGGAGCCCATTCTTTTCATGCACTGCCTCCAGGTAGCCGGTGACGCCCAAGGAAAATAGTTAACGCAGCCCAATCATGGTCTACGCTGCCTGAGTTTGATGAGACACATGCCACGACTAAACTGGGATTATTAGACCACCTTTGGCAACCTTTCCTAGCTACCTTGACATTCAAGTGTTTCTCATTGTTTTCAAGTGCATTTTCTCTTGAATATTGCCACATCCCACAGCTCCTAACCGAGCAGTCAGCGGAAGGCCTGCCGAGCAGGAGAAGCCACCGTACTTGCCTCCAGCTCCACACGCAACATGGACGGCCTCCTGGAAAGCCGATGGATGTGTTCATTTCCCAGCCAGAAATCTCCCTCCAAGCTTCCAAAACCTTCCTTGTACTTCTTCCAATTTTGGCTGAAAGAGATCAAGCCAATTTTCCGCCTTTGGATGACGGTCCAGCCTCCTCCATCAGTCTCCATGTCACAGTATACCTGGGAAAACGAAAAGGAGGGCGAGCTCAGACATCCAGAAAGGTTAAGAACCACTCTGGCATGGCGGTAATTTACCGGGACAGTGAATATCAGCGTAACTCCATGTGTCAAGCGTACGTTCAATCAACCCACCTACCTCTCTTGTAGAGCAAAAATACCTTGCCTGGAACGGGAACGCACCAAAAAGTTTCATGCCACTTTGGGAAAGGTGCAAATAGCAAATTGAAGTGGCTTAATAAGCCTACTTCCATCCTGTAGAGCTGCTCCTGTTTTGCACACAACCGGGCGTCCTCTTAAGGCAGACACGGTTTCTACGTCTATAGGAATCCTAAACCTTGCATGGCTTCCTGCCTTTCCTCTCTTCCCAAGCTGTGTGTGGAAAGGTCTTACCTGCAATTCTGGGCTTCCCAGAAATTCATCGGGGAGAAGTTTGTAGACTCCAGAAGATCTGTAATTTCTCTGATAGAGGGAGGAGCAGTCGTAGACGGCGGCGTCTGAACGAGAGAACAAAAGCGCAGTGGGTTGAATGGTTCCCACCGGTCAGGAAAACCTAGGGCCCACCACTTCCTTCTTTGCCTCCAGAAAATGGATACGACATGCATCTATCCCTTCGACTTCCCGTGTTGCCATTTCAGCAAACGACAAGCAAAACCCAGCTGGGAATGCAGGCAGGCCTTGACATGCAACAGTTCACTGAGTGACCATCAGAGTTACAACGGCACTGAAAAAAGGGACTTAGGGCCGTTTTTCACAGTTTATATTCTGGTGGCTTGCCCTGCCCATGTTGGTGGAGATGGTTTTTAGAAATTCTTTGCTTGGGCTGTTGACTGATGGCTCTTTGGCAGTTTCTTGACTGGGGTATTGCTTACTTGATGGTTGGTCTTCTCAGAGAGCACCAAGGACCCCTCATTTCAACCCTGAGCTATAAATACTCTCCTTCCTTAGTTCAGGCTTCAGTCAACTTCAGAATGAACGCCTGCACAATGGAGTTCTTCCTTAAGATTCATCTAAGTATAGAGTTATAGGCATAATATTGGGCTTAGACAACTTAGAACTACGCCGCCTTCGGTCTGACCTAAGTACATAAAATTTTCTGCTACACTGTCCTACCCGTCAATGACTACTTCAGCTTCAACCACAACAATACATGAGCACACAATAGATGCAAACTAAACCGCTCCAAACTCGATGGCAGGAAATTCAGCAACATAGTGGTCAAGGTCTGGAATGCACTACCTGACTCTGTGGTTTCTTCCCCAAACACTTTAACCTCAGACTATCTATTGTTGACCTCACCACATTCCTAAGAGGTCTGCAAGGGGCGTGCATAAGTACACCAACGTGCCTACCGTCCCTGTCCTGATGTCTCCTTTTATTCATACCCATTTCATGTAATCGTAATCATGTTCTAATTATACCTGTTATCTAATGCATGCTTGACAAATAAAATAAATAAAAATAAATATCTCGGTCCTTCCCCCCACACCCTCCTCCCAGTTATATTTTATATATTCCCCGGAGTAGCAAGCAATCCCTCCAGGGAAGGGGCAGCCTCTCCTTACCTGTGGACGGTTGGCTGACCGTCTGAGCCGCCTGAAGCTGCACAATGCCGAGCTGGGAATTCATCTCCGAGTACTTCCCTTCCACGTCGCCGAGGCGGGCGTCCATCAGCTGGATGCTCCCTTCCAGGGCCATCAGCTGCGTGACGGCCTGCCCCAGGACATCGCCTTGCCTCTTGCTCACCTCCTGTAACAAGGAGGAGAGATTGGCCACTTGGACCTTCAGCGTTTTTAGCTCTTCGCAACATCCGGGGCTCTTGCCCGCCACGGGCTTCTTTGGAAGGGTCTGCAGCCATGCTGGATCGATAGTGAAAGAGAAGGTTAGGGCACATAACCAAGCCAGTTGGGAGCTGAAGGTGGCTTGCATGATAGCAACGTACTCTCTCTCTCTCTCTCTCTCTCTCTCTCTTTCTCTCTCTCCTCTCTAGTTCCCAATAACTCCTATTCGAAGTCCCTCTCCTTTAATTCAGTTGCCTAGGAGTCAGTGCTTGCTAAAAGAGGCCGCCTCTTGTATGTGCTCCCTCCTCACCCTCATTTTAAATATTTGTGGCTATCCTGGCTATCTCCACCCCTTGCAGCTACCCAGAGCCCCCCCTTTCCCTTCTTGCCCATCGTGGGCGAAACTAAAGAAGCTGAGAAGGCGGGATATTTTGTTTTTGTTACGAAGGGACCTTGAACTTGAAACTTGCCTTCTTAGTTGGGTTATTTTCTCAGGTGGGAGGAAAGGATTTTTTGGGGGGGTGGGGGAAACCACAATTGTTTCCAGGAAAAATGCCCTGTTGGGTTGCTGCCTTCCCAACGATTAATCTCCGGCATATTGAAGACCATAACAGGATGTTATGTCCCGTAAATGAAAGAAGTCCAGCAAATGTCATGGTTTAGCAGCAGTCTGTAACGTCCCTCTTCCACTGATCGCATCTCTGGCAATCTTACCGAGCAATTATGAGGTCCTTTGTGGGGATCATGTGCTCTTGATGGATACAGACACCAAGCTGGGAAGAAAAAGGACTAGATTGTTCCATGCATTCTCTTGCGAAAAAAAAAAAAAACGCCAATGAGCGCGCAGCTCAAGTTTTCCTCGACATCCGTCCGTTTTTTTTTTGCAAAGCAGAACATTACGGAGATGACAATGATTTCCACACAACATCGACTAAAACTGGAGAGCGCCAAAAAAAAAAAGGATGGTAAAAATGGCAACATCTTGCTTTTCTCTCTCTTCCGCTGCCCCTTTCCCTGGAATTTCAGAGTAAAATCCCTTGAGCTCAGTCAAGTTCGAAGTATATAAAGCAATTCCACTCCTCCTCCTCCTCCCTTTGACAAGTTACAAAATGAAAAGGCGTGCTCCACAACCAGCCAGCCGAGGGCAGGGAACAGCAATAATTCTAGAGAAAAGGATATTTTTTTGTGGGGGGGGGGCAGGGGGGAGGAAGGATAATGGCCTATTTGTCAGAAGGCGTTGTTGAGAGAGAGAGAAAGTCGGAGGTAATGAATCGCCCAACAGGCAGAGCTGAGATGCTCCTAGCTGTCAGGCCAAATGTGACAGCTATTCATCACTTTTATAGCAGGTTGTTGATTCTCCTTCTCAAGAAAGAAAGCTTCTTTACTCAGTCCCAAGGAACCACAGGGGTTTATTGCCCATAGCCATATTTCAGGCAGAACAAACACAACTTGATGTTTCATCAGTAAACAAGTCACTAAAAGACAGCTGAGGAACTACCGAAAAAAACTCCAAAAACAGTCTTTCGAATGGGGACGAATAACGGAGATCTTGTCATTTTCATACTGGCCCTTCTCTACAAAGGCTCATAATCTGAGTTTGTGGATCCAGGCACTCCTAATAACAGAACCTGGCTAGCAAAACACACGAGACGAAATCTTGGATCCTCCGAGCTGAGGGCTGGATGGATTACCTCCCAATATGAGTGACAAGATGCTTCAGACCAAGAGGAACTTGGCGGGGGTCAGGAGGAGGAAAGAGAAGAGTAGGTGGAAACAAGGGAGCAATGAGACGCCATTTTTACCCCTCTGCTGTTTACTTCCAGGACAGTTAACTTAATTTAGGAGGTTATATAGTTGCAGCTGAAACACACACTTGCTCAAAACAGGTAGTCCTTAACTTATGACCACCATTGAGCACAAGATTTCTGTTGCTAAACAAGACAGCTGTTTAGCCTATTTCCTCCACACACACACACCCCGTACAACTTTACTTGCCACAGTTAAATTAGTAACCCGGTTGTTAAGTGAATCCCGCTTCCCTGTTGACTTTGTCCCACTTCCCTGTTGAAGGTCGCAAAAGGGGATCCCATGACCCCTCCAGGGCGCTGCAACCGTCAGAAACATGAGCCCGTGGCCAAGCGCCTGAATTTTTTTTTCCAAAATTTTTATTGATTTTTAAAAAACAAACAAAACACAAAACTTGAAAACATAAAACATATTTTTTGAAAGCAGCTTGATCCCGGGTTACATCTCTTCGTACAGACATAAATTCAAATTCATGCTCGCTTTTATATACCATTCCATATCTTATTACCATTCTACATTTTCTATATAGCTTCTCCCCTCTTTTAACTCTCTCAATTCTATTTTATTTATTTCATCTCAATTTAAATCATTATACTTATAGCCTTTGTCTGTCCTGTTTCAGCTGTCTATTATCTTTTCTCATTAACACAAAATTTCTCCTGTAATCACTGATTGGAGTATGACGCCTTTATATTTTTCCCCTAAATTTATAACACTTAATATAATACATAACTTTAATTTGGATTCTGCTTGGTACATTCTAAAGCTACACACTATATTTTAAGAAAAGAAGAAATTATAAATATATAATATAATTAAAACAACAATCCATACCAATTGAACTCTATCGTTAAAATTAATATTCATTTAAATCTTAAACATTTTACACATTACTTTTCAAATAGGTATCATGCTTCTATGGGAACACTTATAAATTTTGCGTAGTAACTTCCCCCCCCATTTCACTTTATATTTTAAAACATTGTGTAATTAAAATGTTCCCATTCCTTCCTAATTCAATTCTCTCATTTATTTCATTTCATTTATTTTATTCAAAAAAGTTTCACTGAATTACACTGAATATTTTATCCCATTTTATAGTCATATGTTGTTCCAATTTTCTAACATTATTTCTAATACAAGTATAACAATACAATCTTATGTACCTTTGCAGAATCTCTTTTTCAGTTATATTTTTACCCATTATCTCTAAATAAGTCCTGTTTCTTTACATCTTGTTCCAAACCTTTGTAGCTTCTCTTCCCTTCCTTCCTCCCTTGCTTCTTCACTCTGCCCTTTTTACCCCCTTGTCTCTTCACCTCTATTTCCCTCTTCTGTGTTCCCTTTTTCTGTTGCTTTCTGACATTATTCACTTTCTCTTCCTGGGGTTACAACTGTTGTAAGTTGAAGACTACCTGTAGTGTTAGGTTGAACTTCTAAATCTTTTGCTGAGAAAAATCTTATGAGGCTCCCACACTTTTCAGTGGTGTTTTTGTAATGGACAGCAGACAGGGCCTTCTCAGTGGTGGCACCCCAGTAATTGGGGGGTGGGGTGGCTTTTCACACCCCATTGTTTTTTCCTATGCCTTTAGAATTTTACCTGTAAGGAACAGCGTGAAACAACTGTTAATTTTCTTTTCTTTTTGCTTTGCTCCACTGTTGCTGAATAATACTTTGCTTTCCGTAATCGTTTCTTAACACGAGAATATGTTGAAGAATGAGCCCCATTAAATAAAACCAAACATTACAAGAATCCAAGCAACTCAGCCACGTCTCCCAATCTTAAATATTTATAAGTTTTCTAACAGAAACCGCGCCAATCCTTTTGTGTTTTATTTTTCCCCTCTCTTTGCAGCATAAACAATAAACTGCAGCAACCGGAGGCCGCATCTGGGGTGCTGGAATATGCCATGAAGCATTTTGGGGAGCTGGTAAGGAACCCCTCTTGTTTGTGCCCATCGCCTTGCGAGCTTGGAAGCCTCCCTGCCTCACGTGGACGGGCAGCGTGTGCTGCTTGATCCTGCCTGCAGGCTGGGAAGGAAACCACGGCTTGGCAAATGTCCGATCACAAACTGCCAAAGAGCTAAATCTAAAATAAACCGGAGCCCACATGGGGTAAGGACACAAAAATCCAAAAAGTGGGGGAAAAATGAAAAGAAAAAGCTTTTGTATTCTTATTCCTTTTATTAGAAGTGAAATTAGCAAAAACAGGAGGAGTCAGGCAGCATTTTTTTCAAACTCGCAAATCGTAAACACGCTGACCAGAGTCTTATCGTTTTATTTTTGTGTGTTACGAATGTAGTGCTTAATTGTTGCGTTGGATGACGCAGCTCAGAAAAACTTAAAACCAATGTATCGTGCAGATGGGCTCCATCTAACTATTGGAGGCAATCTAGGGACCCTTTTTCCAAAAATTAGATGCCTTCTTAAAATAGAATAAGAAGGTAGGAAGTTTTTTTTTTTTTTAATTCCAAAAGGGGAGAAATTGGGACTTCTTTTGTGAAAAGTCTGTCTTAAAGTTGAACTACAATCCATTTCTAAAAGAAAACTTTTCCGAGATGAGAACACAGTTTCTCGCCCTCAGCAACTTAAGCAACTTTAAGCTGCCTGGACTTCAACTCCCAGAATTCCCCAGCCACGTTGAAGCCCACCCAGTTAAACAAAGGGGCAGAGACCTCTTTCTGCGATGTTCAACACCGCTTTAGCTTCCGGAAGATTTTCAATAGGGTTCATTATAGTTGGGCTGCCCAACTGCCAATGGTTGCTGTGTGCCAATTGGGATCGTCTGAGTTTTCTCCCCAACCCCTCCCCCCTCTCTCAATTTCCTGGCCTCTCCTTCCAGGAAATCCAAGCCACCTGGTACGAGAAGCTGCACGAGTGGGAAGATGCCCTTGTGGCCTATGACAAAAAGATGGACACCAATAAAGACGATCCGGAGCTGATGCTCGGCCGCATGCGCTGCCTGGAAGCCTTGGGGGAATGGTAAGACTCCCAACGATGTGTTTTTCTCTCGGGAGTTTCTGGTGAGGAATGCTGCATCCAGTTTCGGTCATCACAGTGTAAAAAAGGATGTTGAGATTCTGGAAAGAGTGCAGAGAAGAGAGACCAGGATGATTAGGGGACTGGAGACTAAACCATACGAAGAACAACAATTGCAGGAAATGAAAAGAAGGACTAGAAGTGACCTGATAGCGGTCTTCCAATATTTGAAGGGTCTTCGACAAAGAAGGGAGGGGGGTGCAAATTATTTACCAAAGCATTTGGAAGGCAGGACAAGAAGCAATGGGTGGAAACTAATCAAGGAGAGAAGCAATCTAGAAATAAGGAGAAATTTCATGACAGCGAGGACAATCAACCAGTGGAATAGCTTGCTTTCAGAGATTTTGGGTGTTCCAAGAACAGATTGGACAGGCATTTGTCTCAAATTATATAGGGCCTCCT